GAGTCCAAGAGAGACATATTAGGCTTATTTTGCATGTAAAAATCATACAAGAAGCATTGTCAAATATGAAATGGTGTTTAAATTTCTTTGAGTTATATTTGTATAAATATGTGTTAATATGTTTTTCTAACTTGTATAAGATTATTAACATTCTTATATATCTTGATGTATGTTATCAATAATAATTATGGATATAATGTTAAATTGTGTGCCAAAGAAATAACCAATTTTTTGTCAGTTGTCTCTTTAACCATGGCTTTTATAAAATATTTGTCATCCATGAACTATTATTATTTTACTTTGATTCTTCCCAAAAAACAGTACTTAAATTGGCTATGATCCAAAATTTTCTTTCCAAGGAAAGTCAAGTAAAGGACTTACAAATACTCTTGAAAACACATTTCTGATAACTGGCAATTATGTACCATTGAACTACAAGAAAAGAATTTTCCAGGAATTTAATTAAAAATTAAATGCCTTTATAAGTGTGAGATTTCAGTCTGAAATGTCAGTTCTTAGTGCACTCATGGCCGAAGAATCACCAGACACACCAAAGTGAGGCAAGCATGAAAATGAGGAGAAAAAAATAGGATTATAGAGCAAGAGCAAGATACAGGTTTACAGAGTGAGATACATATGCTACAGATGAAGACCAGACCCACTGTTGCAGCAAAGGGAGAGCAAAAGGAAGGGACTAAAAAGGCCTGGTTATGATCTGCATCTATTTTTATAGTGCCCTGATTGTGACCTCCCTTGTGGTTCAGAGATCACCATGGACCCACTTTGATTGGGCAATTGGGAGTTGCAAGATCTTAGTCTTACCACACATGTGGGCACTAGATCACTTTCTGGACTCTGTCATACCTAATGCTACTTGGCCCATGGGCTAGAGAGTCGTCTGCATTTTTTTGCAGCTGGCATGCTAAGTTATGACTGGCAGATTCATAGGGTGTTCCCTCCTTCCTCAGTTATAGCAGGAGCTCAGCACGATTAAGGTTGAGGAAGACAAAGATTGGACTTGGTGCCTACTCTTGTCATTTCTCCCAGATGGGGCAATTGCACCAACATAAGGCACTAACTTTCATCCTGGAGACCCAGAATCCCTTGATGACTACCTAACATAAGGATTGCTAACTCAACCTCAAACAGAAGAAAAATTAATTACGTGTTACTAGACTAATTTTGTATGACTTTTTGTTTGAAACGTTACTGATTCTTCTTGTATATTGTTTTCCAGTTTTAAGAAAACTGTTTACCTTCCTTTGAGCTATTTATAACTTAAAACAAATTGGTAAAGAATATTTTTATGAGCAAAATTTAAATTGTTTATGTATTTCTGTAATTGATTTCTCCAGAATTTGGATACTGTTAGTAAGTATTCTTATTTTATGGCAATAAAGCTATTTGTATAACTTAAGAATCTGCTTTTTTTATTTTTCTTGTTACAGGACAGAATTAAAGACATTTGTTATTTTTACAAGGCTTTGACTGAAATGGCTTATTTTCAGAGATGTCCACACTGCTTTGAAGAATTAAGGTTGACTTGAAGGGCCAATGAAAATCCCTTTAAAATAATTTGCTGGTATCTCATCTATGGCATTTCTACATTGGTAGCAAGAAAAGAATTTCACTTTCTGAGACTTCTAGGAACCCCAAGTTACTTTGAGATCTCAAGAAAAGAGGAATTTACCCAATTCATGTAAGTGTCCATAGACATAGTTAAAAACTTGACTTGACTCAGAAGGTTTTTGAGACTAACCTGATATTCCTTATTAAAAAGTTCCAACAAATCCAAAAGAAGAAAAAAGAAAAGAAAAACCTATATGGCCAATAACTACTCTAGCTATACTTTATCCAAATAATCAAGACAAGTATAATAAAATTATAATTTATTTTGCAAATATATTTGTCCTACTGATTGGTCTTTAGTAGAAATGGGAAACTGGAGAGAGAAAATCATGTTTTAGAAGAAACTATAGTAAACCCATTATTAAATTCTAACTGTGACCTTTGTTTTTAAGTTTTGATTATTTGCCTACAATTTGGACTTAATCCTGAATTTTCTTCCGGCTACAAGTCTCCAAATACTGTTTTCAAATTTTTCTTCCATTTTTTTATGACTTGGACTCAATAAAATTGCCCCTACCTCTTTCTTGAGGTCCTGCAAGCATACTCTGTGACACACAAACTCTAATCAAGAAAATCTGCCAAATTGTGGTGGCCTACTTCCTCTTTAACTGATCATATTTTGAGTTTAACATCTAGACATCTCATCGGGACGCCCTCCAGACTCTTAAGGAAAGCACATTAAAAACTGTTCCAAATATTAACTTTTATTTTTATTCTGTTTGAAAGCTCATGTGCAATTCCAGCTCCTGGAATGGGACACAGCACTTTAATTGAAGTGATCTATACGCAGGACTAAGACACTGACTAAGGAAGACATAGGATGATGTTTAAACTTGCTCTTTTCCATTTATCCCGATTTGTTTTTCCTTCACTCCTTTGTCTATCTCTAAATAACTCTAACCCAAATTTCTCCCAAGCTATCAGCTTAGCTTTTTCATATACGAAACTTTTCAGTTTCAAAGTGAGGATTGAAGGAAATTAGAAATATTTTGCTCCACAATGTATTTCTTTGATATAGTTTGAGATGCCTTCCATGAGTCTCACAGATAAAAGTAACACTGAAAAACTCTCTTATGTTAGGGGAAATTTATGTCTGTAGAGAATCTTCATTAATACATCCAGGTCTATCCTTATCCTATCTAGGAAAAATTAACTGAAAGTCTGACACTTTGAAAGTTCTGAAAAGAAACATTTACCGTCTATACTCTCTGTTAGCTGCTACCTATAAGGTTTCATTTACATAACAAGACCACCAAGCCTCTTACTTTCTCCATTCCAAAAACCTCTTTTACTACTTTCAAGATCTTATTCTTTAAAATAGTTGTACTCCATTGAAACTTGAATCTTCATTCTGAAGGTTTCCAGGTATATACATTAAATAAATTTGTATCTTTTTACTCCTATTAATCAGTCTGCCTATGTCAGTGATTTTTCAGCGAACCTTTATGGGGCAACGGGCCTTTGCTACCTGTAGCTTGGTGAACGTTGGGGGGTTCAGTGGCCTTTGATCCCTATAATACCTACCAAAATACTCCCTATAGGTATCCAAGTCTATTACTATTAAATTAGTGGGTATTCCACATGGGCATGGGATATGGCATACATATTCTCCTAAACCATTTGCCACTTTGGGCTTAGTGTGGGATGGATGTGTGTTTGTGTGTGTATGTTTTTGTGTGTGAAATATTAACACCAAAGATTTTTTTTTCCATTTCTTTCATAACCTATCTGGGTAATCAAGATATCTCTATGTATTTTATTAGTAAGTTTAGGAATGCTGAAATCAACATTTTACTGATTGTAGTGCTGACAAGAAACTTGCCCTTTGCCCCAACAGTTTGCTGAAAGATCAATTCACAGTTAAGGCAGATTAGTAAGAGAATTGTTTATTTACCAATACCATACACACGGGGAAAATCACATAGTGATTACCCAATAAACTAATGAATTTCAGACATTTTTATATCTGTCTTTTGGAGGGGAGGGTAAATGTGGAGTACAGGTAATTCTGTTTAAGGGTGACTAATGGTACTAGGGAGGACAAATGGATTGGGGAGACAGATTGATTTGTAAATGATTCTCTTTGCAAATTAAATTAACCTGAGAGACAGATATTGTGTTTAAAATAATTTGGGCCAGATCTGCTTGCATTATTGATCTTCTTTCCTGCCATATATTGAGGTAACAGGGAGAGGAAGGGAAGTCAGTTGCTCCCTTTGATCCTTTGTTCAGGTCAGTCCAGTTTATGCAGATAGAGGAAAAGCCTCCTTTAAGGGCCAGTTAATCTCTAAGAGCCTTTAATTCAAAATACTCTTTATGCCAAGGAGTCTTATTTTGAGGTGAAATTATCAGAGCTCCTTCATGATATATTGAATTTGTTTGATTTTCTCAATAAATATTTAACTTGCTATCAACCAATGACCTTTAATCTTAAAAATTAATTTTTAACTTCTCTGTCTAAATTACCATTTCAATTCTGTGCCCAGTAAACACTCAAGCTCTGTAGAACAGTGTGTGAGGAAGCTGCTGTCGCGATGCCTGGGAAGTCGACTTTGGCAATTCTGCTGATGCTTCTCTGCTGTGCTGGCTGCGGATTCTGCGGGAAGGTCCTGGTATGGCCCTGTGACATGAGCCATTGGCTTAATCTCAAGTGCATTCTGGAGGAACTCATAGAAAGGGGTCATGAAGTAACTGTGTTAACCCAACATCAGACTATTCTCATTGATTATAAGAAGACTTCTGCAATGAAATTTGAGGTGGTCTATACG